ATTCTCTATTTTGATATGGCCCCAGGAAACAAAAATCTGTATTTCTTCCTACATTGGCAGGCTTGAAGAGTGTGGCTTTTTGTTTTATTATGGAGGTAGGTATTTCCTTCTGTGTGGTGGCAGCCCATGACTGATGAAATGTCCAATGAATTTTAGGACATGAATGGGGGGAGCACTTGGTCCAGATAACCATCTTCTCATAAATAGTGTCCCTCTATTTCCCCTTTGGGTGATCTGGGAGACTTTCTGTTATGGAAGTTGATGGTGTTCAGTACAAGGCTAATGAGAAGAATGGGGCAGGAGCCTTGGCTTGCACACGCAGATACATGGTCACCCTTAGCCACCCTGGGTGACTCAGGAGGAGCTCACAAATCTGCTTCCTATGACCTTACAATGACAGGGAATCAGAGCATATTTCATGTGAGGGAGCCTAGAGTGTCAAGGTCCCTGGAGATTATCAAATCCAACTCCTTATTTTACAGATGACAAAATTAAGGCCCAGAGAGGAGGGGATTATTGAGGTCACATAAACAATACATGCCTTGGCTGGTCAGTGGGAGAGTTTTCTTGGGAAACCAAGTTAAGATAACATTGCTTGGTGAGTCAAGTCATATTCAGAGCAAATCATAATATCCTGTGAGTTTTTATATCAGTTTTAGTATTTTCAAATGATTTCACGTTAATTATGTTGGTTTGAGACAGATAAGGAAGCAAAGCTCAGAGAGGCTGATTTGCCAAGTGTCATGTAGCTTGGCTTAGCCGCTATCAGAACACAAGTAAAGAGAAATGGATGATTTATAGACAGTTGTTAGGCAACTGTGCAAGCTCTTCTTCCTCCAAACCCCTCCCTGTCAATATTATTATCCAGTCTCTGGCTGTTTCCATTACACTTCACATCAAGATGGATAGTTAATCCATTTGATCATGGCCATGTCCCTGAGGAAATCTGAAACAAGTTCCTGTGTTATTTTACCATGTCAACCATCAGCCATTTATTTCAAGGCTCCTTCTCAGAGGATTTCCTCTGATGACTGAGCCCAAGTTGCTGGCTTTGGACAAGGATGCCAACTTGGATCTTGGGTCTTGGTTCTGGTGGGCAGTGTGCTGGGCATTCACCAAGCCCTGTGGTCAGCACTGGAGTGTGGCCAAATATAGTGCTAAGGGCCCTATATGTGCAGTCAGAAAACAGGGTTTGTTTCTTAGGGGATGACCTTGATCAGGTCAGAATTTCTCTGAGCAGCCAGAGCCCACAGATTCTTGGTGAGTCAAGTCATATTCAGGGCAAATCATAATATCCTGTGAATTTTTACATCAGTTTTAGTATTTTCAAATGATTTCACGTTAATTATGTTGGTTTGAGACAGATGAGGAAGCAAAGCTCTAGTCCACAGATTCTACATTTTTGGAGTGTTCTTTAACTTCTCTGGGCCATTTAATTATCTATAAAGTGAATAAGACCTAACTCTTAGGGTTGAGCTGAGAATAAAGTAAGATAGTATATATAAAGTGCTTAGCATGGAGTGAGCACTCCCCATGAGTTAAATGGCAATACCATGGCCTGACTGTGTCACTGAGCAGCATGAGAATTCAAAGATATATAAAAACTCTGGGAGGTCAGATAATCATTCTAGTTTCTTCTTGACCTGAACATCCCTCAGAGCCCTTTTGGTCCCTTGCATGGGTTGGGAATGGTCCACTAACAGTCTGTGCTCACGCCTTCCAGGACTTTTAAGACAAGAATTCTATCTCTTAGCAGGATGGTCAGATCCATTTTCTAGACAATTTTAAGGATTAGGGATGAAACTGGGTTAGTTCTCTGAATCTGTTGGAACCCTGGACCAAAAGAACAAAACAGTATCTTGCTTTTAAGACCCTTTCCTCTATATTATTTCCTCTGGACCCCCTGCCACTTTGTGAGGCTCATACTGTTATTACCCCCATTTTACAGATGGGGAAGAAGAAATCCAGATGTTCAGGAGCTTCTTGGTGAGTTTAAGGTAGTCTTAGACCTAGGTTAGCATTAGTCCTGGTTCAACCAATGATTTTTTTTTTGTGTGTGTGTGTGTGGCCAGGGTGAATGACTGCTCTTGTTTGGGCCTTGGGGATGCTATCTAATTGAGTGAAGTCATGAAGTAGGCATAGCCTGATCACTTCCTTCTTTTCTTGCCAGGGGGAAGGACTTGAAAGAACAGCACGAGCAGAAAGTGTGTGAGAGGGAGATGCAGCGAATCACTCTGCCCTTGTCTGCTTTCACCAACCCCACCTGTGAGATTGTGGATGAGAAGACCGTTGTGGTCCACAGCAGCCAGACTCCTGTTGATCTACCAGAAGGCAGCACTCCCCTCATGGGCCAGGCTGGCACCCCTGGGGCCTGAGCCCCTCCAGTGGGCAGGAACACATATAGACACTGGTGCAGGACAGCCCGCCCTCCTACAGCTGGGAGGATCGACATTTTGTGTTGTGGTTAAAACCTAACCCCACTTTTTTTTTTTTTTTTTGGGTGAATCCTCATGATAGAAGCAGGTAGGGCTGTGGGGGAGGCTGAGTAGGGTCCTATCAATGCTCATTCTTCATCCCTTAGAGCAAGATTTTGCCTGTGGATGGGGACAGTAGCATGGCTCCCAGAGTGGTGCTGCTGACAAGGGCTTCCACATGTTTTCTGTGCCCCTAAAACTGGACTGGGAGCATAGGGAGCTCCCCCAGGCTCCTCTGTGCTTTAGACAGCCTCAGCCTCTGCCTTTCTGTTTGTTCTCCATGAGCTTGAGTGGCATAAACTGTTATTCATAGTTCAGGCCAAGAAGGTCAAGAGGAGGCATTGAAAGAATATAGTTTTTTTAAGTATTTGGGATGGAACTCCCTACTGACCTTTGAGAACCGGAAGTGAGTTTGTACAAAAGTCAGAACTTTGGGCTGAGAACAGGATCTTGGCCTGGGCCTGCTGGGTGTGCTCCAGCTTGCTGGCAGTGATGTGCCTTGACAACCATGGGCCAGGTCTGGGCCCAGGGACTCTTCCTGTTTCGTAAGGAAAGGAAGGGAAGAATTGCACTAACCATTCCACTTAGGAAGAGGGTAAAGAATGATCTGCTCCTGCCTTAGGCCCCAGAGGCAGAGGTGGATCTGGGGGGCCCCAGACCATCTCTCTTCTGGGGTAAACAGTGACCTCTCTTCATTTTGTGCAGGTAGGAGAGTAGCTAGCTAACTTGTGGGAATTATTTGCAGTGGGGTCTGGTGAGCTGCTTTTGACTGAACTCAGAGGCAAGGTAACAGCACTTCAGGGCTTGTCCCTGCAGTGCACTTTGGTTTGCAGGTGGCTTTGTAGTTTCCAGGCCAGCACCTTCCTGTGCAGCAGTGGGGTTAGGGTCACAAACCCTAACTTGTAAAACAATCAGAGAACATTGGAAAGATTCTCCAAGTCTCTTAGACATGGGCCCAGAGAGAAAGTGACTTGCTCAAGGCCACTCTGTGGCCAATAGAGCTGAACTTCCTGAGTACAACATTTTTCCACTGCACTGTGCTCCTGCTCAGCAGGCCCTCCAAACCCTGATGTCACACTTGGAGGACTTGGCAATGCTCCCTAGCCACAGAGCTTCCTTCCACTGCCCCGTGTGGAGAGGTGGGTGAATGGGGCCCATTTCCTTCAGCTGACTGCTCCCTGGAGCCATTTGCTGAGGGCACCTAGACCTCAGCAATACCCAGGAGTCCCTTGGTATTAATGATGTTGGGGAAGAGAACATTACTGGTTTCTACTTTTCTATAAAAGGATTTCTCTGTATACATGTTTTATATACCTCATTCTGACACCTGTGTATAAAGTATGGGAAATTGCCGTGTATTTGACTTATATAAAAACAAAACTCCATGTTGCCAAGCTTTTGTGGGGTATTGTAGGTTACTTTGTCAACAACTGTGTGTGAACATTGCCCTTCTTTTCACTCACTCTAGCCTGTATGTGAAAGGTAGCAACAGTTAAATGGTTGGAAATTGCACCTTCTGTGTCCTGTTGTCATCACCAGGAATATTTCAAGTTGAAGCTGTGGGAAGGATGGATGTATGGGTGTCTCAAGAAGGAAGTTGGTCACTGCCAGCCACTCCCCCTTCAATGATGTTTGAAATGAAGAGAATTAAAATGAACATCCATACTGTCCTTGTCAGGGACTAGACAAATGGATGGGTGGTAATACTGTGACAACCAAAAGAGGAATGGGTATGGTTGAGAAGGATGGATCTTTGGGCTGCCAGGAGCAGACTTTGGCGGAGGAAGCTGTCTGTGGCTGAATCCTAGGGCTCTAGATCGAAAGCTATAACACAGGAATGTTTTTTGGACTTCTGGCAGGGGATTTTAGCAATAGGTGCTCAGGCTCTAGGTATACCCAAGGTGTCCTCTGCCCATGCCCAGATATTGTTCTACAGTTCTGTCATCAGTTTTTTCAAGGAACAAATTTTGCCCTTACATTGGATTCCTCAAGCTATGGGGAGTACAAAGGAAAAATTATCTTTGTATCTTTGGGTTTATGGATTTATATTATGCCCATAAACAGGCAGCATCAACTTGCCCCATGGTCAGTCTTCCATAACATCCCTCAGGACCAGACGCACTTCCTACACACAGGGTGGGATAAATGCATGTGTTTCTCCCCATCACTAAGATGGTACATAGCCCTGTGGAAACAAAGCCAGGAAACCCAGGCTGTATGTGTTCATATATTAAGAGGTAGGAGTAGAGGGCTCCTGAGGACTTGGCTGGCAGGTGGGAGCCAGCACAGTAGTTTGTGGAGCCAAGATGAGGTCATAGCCCTATTTCCCAAAAGGGGCTGCCTCAGGTAAGATGTGCACATTCTCTGGAGCAGGCTGAGGTCTGCCTCAGGAGATGGGAACTAGTTTTGGGAGTGTGAAAACCCCCTGCTATGGGGAGTCATATGGCCTGGATGGAAAGGTGGCCAGAAGATGTTCCACACTTATGTCTCCGAGCCAGGCCCCAAGTCACTTTTTCACTCTCAGTATTGTCAGTTATGTTAACTGCTTAATTTATTTATTTAGTCTCAATGGCCCAGGTCAGGCCCACCACTCCCACACTTGCTGGGGACAGATAAAGCACAACCAACCATACAACGCTGAACCACGTTGCTGCTGGAAGTCCAGGACTCAACCCTACAGCAAACCTGCAATCTGTACACAGAAGTATAGTCTAAACTCTGGCCAGAAATGACATCCCCCAACTCATCCAGTCTATGTACATTATTTCACATATCACCCAATAGATACAACAAGATAATATTAACAGCAACCACTCTTCTGTATCACACACCCCCACCCCCAATACAACCACCACACATTGCATTTATACCCCAAACCCATTCCCAATTTGTTAAATATGGTGCAAGCTCACAGACACTTAGGAGAGGCAAATCTAGTTGTGCTGTAGAATCCCTTGAGGTCTGGGAACCAAGGTGGAGGGTACCTCCAGGGCTTTCCAGTGCCCGTGGCCCTGGAGTGTGGGGCTCAGGAGGCATAGTCAGGATCTAGGAGCTGGGCCAGCCTACAAGGGAGGTAGTAGCCAGATGGCCAAGCTCAGGGAGCTGTCTCAGTGTCTTAGATCTGAGATTCTGCCACCACCTCATCCCAATCCAAGTTGCTACTTGGAATAGGAATGTTGATGGGTGAGCAGTGGTTATAATAAGGGTGGGGCCAAGAGACTGTGAGACACCCACCCCCAACCCCCGCCTCAGACCTTAGGCCTGTGACAAAGCCATACAATCCTCCAGAACTCATCTAGTTCTAGGTAAAATGTCTCGGGCTTTTGACTGAGGAACCCACCAGAGTATGAGTTATGAGTGACTGAAGCCAGGATATGGGTTTTCTAAAGGACAGAACCTATTTCTCTCTAGCCCCCAGTCAGTTTCTGTGCTCTTGGTGACTGCTTGTTGAGAAAAGGATGCCACCCAGAATTTTTTGGCCAGTCTCTAGTAGTACACTTTGAGAACACAAAGTGGAAGATCCTCACACATTGATGTGGTTCCTAAGCTGGCTAGAGCCACCCGCTGGCAGATAGTATGAATTAACCCTCTTTAGATTCTTGGTCAGTTCCATCATACACTATAGGACTCTTCACACCCTACTCAGAACATGGAGTGGAAATGGGGAATATCACTGTCATTTTATACCCTTCAAGTGCCACTTGGCCACCAGTCTTCCTCTCATCCACACTCCTACTTGAAGTCCTTCCTCAACCCAGCTGGTCCAGACACTTCAGAGCCCATAGGTTCACCCTGGGATCCTGCCCAGCAGGTCCAAGTCATGTCAATTAGTGTAAGCAAGAGCCTCCTGGAATCCCACTGCCAGGGAGTTCCCAAGGGGTCCCGAGTAACAGATTCCTCCTGGCCCAGAGTCCAGGCTTTTTCTTCTTCACAGCTTTCAGGCGAGTGTTGGACTTACAGACAGTAACCAGGCCCCAAAACCTAGAGAGATGTGTTTTCCTGGTGTGCGCCTGCTCGCCTCCTGGGGAGGTAGTAGAGATGGCTCATTCTGCTTCTAAACAAGCCGCCAATCCACAGGAAGCCCAGACAGCCCTGCTCACAGCAGGGACAGGGCGCAGAGGGGCAGTGCTGGCTGTGGAACGCCCCCCTGCAGGGGGCTGGGCTGGGGCTAGGGGGGTGAATCCCGGGTCAGGCCGTACTGCATGCTCACAGTGTGGTCCAGCTCCTCCAGCTCTGCAGGCAGTGGGATGCCCAGCTCTCCCAGATACAGGGAAAGGGCCTCAAAGGAATCCTCCAGTTTTGAGAATGCTGGTCTAGAAAAAAATGGGATGAATTAAAGGCAGATGGAAATCAGTAGGACCATGGGGTGGTATGAAAGGAATCCAGGCAGAGGCTCAGTCACTTCCTGGTTATGACCTCAGGCAAATACTTTAACCTCCTTATGCCTCCATGAGAAATGGGCATAATATGTTACTGTTCCCTCACAGGATTACTGTAAAGGTTAAAGATAACACTGTGAGAAGGTGGGCCCAGCTGGGTGCACTGGTACATGCCTGTAATCCCAGTGACTCAGGAGGCTGAGGCAGGAGGATTGCAACTTTGAGATCAACCTCAGCAACTTAGCAAAGTTGAGACCATCTCTAAAAAATAAAAGGGCTAGGGATGTTGCTCAGTGGTTAAGCATCTCTGCGTTCAATCTTGGCCCCCAAAACCAAAAAACTTTCTTTGTGCAACTTAGCAAGGCCCCCCCAAAAAAACATTTATCATGTTGGACCAGGGATTTTGGGTGTTTCAGGCACGCATTCTACCACAGAGCCATATCCTCAGCCCTTCTAGTTCTCTTATAGTCCAGAAGACAGCAATCCATGTTTAAAATTAAAATTTGTACCCTAAACAATCTTCTTTTCTTGGATTGACTTTTTCTTCACAACATTTGTCACCTTCTAAATATTCAATATAGTTTATATTCTGTTGTTTATGAACTCCCCTTGGGAGGCATGTGCTTACCACTAAGCAACATCCTCAGCCCCAATCTCCTTGTTAGAATACTCCATGAGGGTAGGCACCTTTGTTTTTTTCAGTGCTGTAATTCAAGCACTTAGAATTGCACCTAGCACACGGTAGGCACTTAATATATATATTTTGGAATATACACAGGCATTTAGAATGACTCAGAACGGATATTAGCAAACAAATATTGTGTAGTTCCACAATTTTTTTAAATATTTATTTTTCAGTTGTAGTTGGACACAATACCTTTATTTATTTATTTTTACGTGGGGCTGAGGATCGAACCTAGGGATTTGCACGTGCTAGAACACTCTGCTGCTAAGCCACAACCCCAGCCCCCACAATTTTTTTTAAAGTTGTTAACACTGTTGTTATTGAAGGATTGCTGTCTTTTGGACTATAAAAGAACTAGAAGGACTGAGGATATGGCTCTGTGGTAGAAATGTGTGCCTGGAATACCCAAAAATCCCTGGTCCAACATAATAAATGTTTGTTTGTTTTTGTGTGTGTGGTGCTGGGGATTAAACACAGAATCTCACACATACTATGCAAGTACTCTACCACTGGGCTACATTCTCAGCACTATGATTATGACTTTTTTTTTTTTTGAGGTACAGGGGATTGAATCCAGGGTGCTCTGTCATTGAGCTACATCCCCAGGCCTTAACTTTATTTTTGAAACAAGGCTGGCTTTGAACTTATGATCTTCCGCCTCAGCCTCCTGAGTCACTGGGATTATAGGCATATGCCACCATATCTGGCAAGCCCCATGATTTTTTTTGGTACCGGGGATTGAACTCAGGGGCATTTGACCACTGAGCCACATCTCCAGCCCTATTTTGTATTTTATTTAGAGATAGGGTTTCTGAGTTGCTTAATGCCTCGCTTTTGCTGAGGCTGGCTTTGAACTTGAGATCCACCTGTCTCAGTCCTGAGCCGCTGGGATCATAGGTGTGCGCCACTGTGCCTGGCAAGCCCCATGATTTTTGATATTTGATAGCAAGAAGACAACAAGGATTCTAGTTTTCTAATGCATGAACTTAAAAAAGATATTGGCTAGAGCTGGGGTTGTGGCTCAGTGGTAGAGCACTCACCTTGCATGGCAAGTCCATGGGTTCGATCCTTAGCACCACATAAAAATAAATAAATAAATAAAGTATTGTGTCCAACTACAACTAAATAATAACTATTAAAAAAAAAGATGTGGGCTAACTCTGATAATATTGAAAGCCATCACTTGAGAAGAATTAAGGCAATTTTAAGAAGACATTTTTTTGTGCATGGTACTAGGGATTGAACCCAAAGCCTTGCATACTAGGAAAGTGCTGTACCACTGAGTTACAAGCTAATCCCCAGCCTTTTTTTTTTCTTTAAATATTTTATCTAGTTGTCGATGGACCTTTATTTTATTTATTTGTATGTGGTGCTGAGAATCAAACCCAGTGCCTCACACGTGTTAGGCAAGTGCTCTATCACTGAGTTACAACCCCAGCCCCCAAAGCCTCCCCCTTTTTGGGAGGCGGGGTGCTGGGGATTGAACTCAGGGCCTTGTACATGCGAGGCAAGCACTCTCTACCAATAGAGCTATATCCCCAGCCCCACCCTACCCCAGCCCTTTTTATTTTTTGAGACAGGGTGTCACTAGGTTATTGAGACTGGCCTCAAAACTTGTGATCCTCTTGCCTCAGCCCTTTAAGTTGCTAGGATTATAGGTGTATACCACCATGTCCAATTTAAGACTTTTTAAAAGAATAAATGGGCAAGGCACAGTGGCACATGCCTGTAATTCTAGTGGCTCAGGAAGCAAGTTTAAAGCCAGCCATAGCAATTTAGTAAGGCCCTAAGCAACTTAGTGAGACCTTGTCTCCACATAAAAAATAAATAAAAAACAGGCTGGTCATGTGGTTCAGTGGTTAAATGCTCCTGGGTTCAATCCCTGGTACTAGTAAATAAAAAAATAAACAAAAGAAAAGAAAAAATTAATGCATAAAGTTGCTCATTGTAGTTAGTACCTACTGTTTTGTTTTGTTTTTTGCCGGGGGTGGTGGAGATTGAATCCAGGGCCTGAAGCATGCTAGGCAAGCGCTCTAACACTGAGCTACACTCCCAGTTTAGTACCTATTATAATGAGGAACTGGAAAAACCTGAACATTTACATTATATAGATTATAATACGTTCAGTCTCTTAATAGTATTTCATGTTGCCAACAAAAGTGATAAAGAAGAAGACTAGGCAGTAAGTAGGAAAATGCAGAGCAAAATAAAAAATTTTATTTACTATGAAAAAATGCACATTTATGGACAGGGAAATATAAAAGCATGAAGTCACTTGTATTAGAATGGCTTAGGTGAATTTTCTTCTATTATTATTTTTAAAAAATTGGTGGGGTGTGCTGAGGAATCAAACTTAGAGCCTCACGTATGCTAGTTGAGCAATCTTAACAACTGACCTACAACCCTAACACTTTAAAATTTTTTTGTAGCATTGGGGATTGAACCCAGGGCTGCCATATCTAGACAAGGGCTCTACCACTGAGCTATACCTCCAGCCCCACATTTCTTCTTTTAAACTTTGATTTAGGTCAGACTTGGTAGTACATGCCTGTAGTTCCAGCTACTTGGGAAGCTGAAGCAGGAGGATTGCAAGTTCAAGGTCAGTCTGGGTAACTTAGTTGAGACTCTGTCCCAAAATAAAATAAAAAAACAGCACTAGAGATGTAATTCCAAAATAAAAAAAAAAAAATCCAGAAAATTTTCCTTTAATAGCTGTGTCTCTGTGTCCCATCCAGCTCACTTGATACTATGCCTTTGTCTCTCTCCCCTCAAACCTGGTATATGTCAGAGTTGTCAGGTAGCTTCAGGGTTTGACAGGTGCATTCTTGAGCTCAATGCTTCTGCTGCCCCTTGTGCCTGAGAAGATCTTGGAGGCGACTTAAGGCTGGAGAAGCATCCCAAGACCCTATAAGCTGGGAGAAAGGGGTAGGATACCAACCTGCTCTCAGGCTCCAGTTTGCAGCAGATAGCAGCCAGGGGAAAGAAGGCTGGGGGGCAGTCTGTGGGGACAAACTTCTCCCAGAAAAGCTTCACGTTCAGGCCAAAGTCCAGTGTACGAGGCAGGCAATCAGGATCTGCATACACTTGCCCAATGATCTGTTGATAAAATAGCTGGTTAGAAAGGACTATAGAAGGCAGCTATATGGCAGGGGAAAGGGATGCTGGTGTGCGAACAGAAGGATGCACAAAAGGAGTGGTAAAAACTAGGTTAGAGAGCTGCTTGCTTTCATCTCTCTAGAATTTGCTAATCCAGACCTCTCTTTCCACGGAGAATCTGGTTACTAAGGAGGGTATGGAAGACAGCAGAAGGACAATGTTCTAAATTGGCACCTAAAGGCTCCCAACTTCCACTCATCCCAACTTGCCCTGCCTGTTCCTCTTATGGCTGTGTTTAGAGTCAAGGCTCTGTGAGGTGAGGGGCTAGGTTTGATTCATGTCTGAAACTCTGGCACCAGTTTAATCCTTTGTACTCAGCAGATGCTCAATTGACATCTATTAAAGGAGAATCTTTTTTTTTTTTTTTCTGGGTAGTACTGGGGATTGAATGAACCCAGGGCCTTCCACTTGCTAGGCAAGTTCTTTACCACTTAGCTACATCCTCAGCAATTTTTTTAAAAAAATTTTATTTTGAGATGGGGGTCTTGCTAAGTTTCCCAGGCTAGCCTGGAACTTGGGATTCTCCTGCCTTTTCCTCTTGAATAGCTGGGATTAAAGCTGTGCACCACTGCACTCCACAAAGAAAATTACTAAAACAACAACAAAAACTTTCCTTCATTGTTGTAACCACTCTTAGTCTCTCCTTTCCTTCCCACTCACAACTTTGTGGAAATGACAGAAGCCTTCAAATGTCTCATTGGTTCTATGAGAGGACTAAGCAGGTTGTTGACTGAGTGCTTTGGGATATACTGAGCTCTGTTGCTGAATGACTGCTAAATTGCTAAAGGCAGGAATCTTTCCAAGATTCAGTCTGTATCCAGTGGTTCCTACCACAGGGTTCGTACTTCCAGTTGATGGGTTTAGGTCCTGGGGAACAACGAACAGAGGGGAATTGGAAAAGGCTACAGTTGGCCTAAAAACTAACAGCACATGAACAATCCTTTGCCTTTCCTACTGGTAATTTTTAAAAATTTTTCAAAACCAGTACTGGGTATTGAACTCTACCACTGGGCTATATCCCTAGCCTTCTTAAACACTTTTGAGACAGGGTCTTGCTAAGCTTCCAAGGCCTCAAATTTGTGATCCTTCTGCCTCAGCCGCTAAATCACTGTGATTTCAGGTGTGTGTCACCACACCTGGCTTCCTACTGGAATTCTGATGTCAATTGAGCATCTGCCCCTTACTTCCATGTGACTAAGAACTACCCACTGCCCCTTTCTGAGCCTCCATTTCTTCACCTGAAACAACCTCCTTAGTCCTCTCATAGGACCAATGAGACTCAAATGTGGAATGCATTACAAATACTAAAACTTTATATCACATTGATTTTATGGTGAGCTATTCATCCCTAGGAGGAAAGGCCCTCAAACATGAAATGAGGCAGGGCTGCTAGGCCTGCTGCCTCAGACCTGGCCTCTGTGCCAAAGCTCACCTCGCAGAGAACGATCCCAAAAGAGAAGACATCCACTGTCTCATCGTAGCTCTTTCCTTGGGGAATAGAGGAGAGTAGGCTGTTAAGTTTACATCTCTTACCTGCTCTGCACTGGGTGTAAGGTCAAGCCAAACCAGAGACAAAAACCAGGACTACAGAACAGGTTCTGGGGGATGCCCCAAAGGCTGCCCAATATGGGTTCCATTTGAAAATCATTTCTACTCAGTTTTGAGTGGCCTGCCTTGGAGAGACTTTATACAGCATTGCCCAGATGCAACTGCATAGTACAGGGGAAAAGAATTGCACCCACATTCATTTAGATTCTGCTTTCAGCCAGCTGTGTGTTCCACGGCAAGCCACTGAACTTCTCTGGGCCTCAGACTCTGAAAAGAATTGCATCAGGCCTTTCAATCCTGTGCCTTTCAAGAATGCCTGGGCTGGTTTGAGTATTATCCACCAGGGGGCACCATACTTCAGTTCTCAGCCTGGAGAGAGGAAAAGCTGAGGTTGGGCAATGAATACACTGAGTTCTCAGCCACCCTTGGGGTGCAAAAGCTAGTCTTTTGTGAAACCAGACTTTACCCTATGTCAAGCACAATAATCAGCGCCCACTCATAAGCTCAGGGAGGAAGGAGTTTATAAGGTCTGGCCTGCTGAAGGTTAAAAATCATCAAGCCCCCAGCTCTGGATGTCTGGCCCTACACTTCTCAGGCCTCCCCAGAAGTTCTTGGGCCTCAGCTACAAGATATGGCTTGTTTTCATTCAGGGGCATTCCCTTCAGGGTTTCAGGACTCACCATTCAGCATCTCAGGAGCCATCCAGTAAGGGTTTCCCACCACTGTGTAGCGTTTTTTGCGGTCATTCTTGCGCAAGGTGCGTTTCTTGGTGGTGGCCTTCTCTACTGGGGGCCTTTTCCTCTCTTCCACTATAAGCCGCGACAGCCCAAAGTCTGCTACCACCACAGTCTTGTCCTGGTTGGACAAGGACCAGGTCAGGACTTGGTGGGGGATGTTCTCAAACCTGGCTGTGGGGTGTGGGCATAGGCAAGAGAAAGGGAGCAAAGGTACACAGCAAAGGAGAGTCACAGTAAAAATAGATGTGGGTGTGCGTTTGTATTTCTATCAGTCTGGTGTATGCTGTTGGCAGATTCCCAGCTCAAGAAAAGGTTTACAATAGAACCACAGCAACCCTGGAGGAGTAGGACTCTGGAACCTGTAGAATGGAATTTAAAGGTGGGACAGGGATTTGTTTTGTTTTTTCCTGTTCTGCCTTTTTCCAAAAAAGATTTGAGGTAGTTGCTAGAACCAGGATAAGAGAGAAAATGATAAGGTGGAGGCAGTCAGTGGGGGTGACTTGGTGAGATAGCTACAGGGCAGTCATGTGAGAAGGGATTAAGAATGTTTTGTGTGGGTCCAGAGAGTGGGGGCTAGGGCCGGTTGGTGGACACCCGGTTGGTGGACACCAGGGAAGCCAGATTGCAAGTCAATAGGAGTAACAATAGTGTAACAACCACAGCTGAGGGGTTGTGGGAGGAATGCTAGCCTCAAACTGGTCACTGTAAATTTATTAGCTCTGTAGCCTCAGATTGAGGTTTCAGGTTCAAATGCTATAAAACAGGGTTAGCAATGAGCTGTTTTACAGGGGCAAAAAATGGCAAATCATCAGGGTTCTATATGCTATTAAAGAACTTCTAAGGTCCCTCCAACTTTTTATAGTGTTAAGGGTCAACCCCAGTACCTTGTAAGAGCTCTATTACTGAGCCACCTCTCCCAGCCATGAGGTCCCTTCTAGTTAAAAGAATTCAAAGAGGTCACATTGTATCTGCATGTGTCTGGGAACTTCCAAAAGACAGGAGTGCCTTGTAAGCAGCAGGAAGGGCAAGATAAGGAGCCCTCAGGCAACACCTGTAGCCTGAAGTCAGAACCCATGCTCAGCTTCCTTGGTGACGTGGAATTCAGGAGGGCTGGCCCTAGGGAGGCTCCAGCCAGGCCCAGAGTGAGGGACATACCAACTTGATGAGGCAGTTGTGTGAATTCAGATCCCGGTGGATGATGCACATGGAGTGCAAATAGGCCTAGAACAGAAACACCAGTCAAAGGCCAGTAAACCAACCACACTCTGATTCTGGAAACTGCTCTATTCCCAGGGCAACCCTGCCTAGCTTCAGAACCTAACCTGGACAGTGGACTCAAGCCCCCGCCACAGCTACTTCTTGTTCCAACACTAACTGGAAGACAAAGGCTGCCTGGGTTTCCTCTCCCTCCCTGCTGCCATCTCCTGCTCATCTTTTTGTTCACCAGTCACTAACAAAGCTGGTCTAAGACCTCACTGCTCTCTCTTTAAGTCCTCAATTCCATTGGGCCATGGGGTCATGGCCCTTGCAGCTCCCTATCACCTCTACCCATTTTACTTAGATCAAGGCCATCTGAAATGAATGCCTTCAGATGTAAGCTCCCTCCTTTCCCCGTACCTTGAATCTCTTGACTTCAGCCATTTTGGATCCTTTCCTGCCTGTGATAAAGAAGAAGTGACCTCCTTCCTGGTCTAACTAGCTCTATGTTCATGACACCTTTCCCCTGAGACTCTACTCTCCTTACTCGACCTATACTTTAACTTCACCCATTCCCCCTCCCCCATACCGGGGGTGGAAACCCGTGCTTCAGACATGCTAGGCAAGTGCTGTCCCACTGAGTCATATCCCCATCCCACCCTCTTCTCCCTCTTCTATCTAAATGTTTTTAAACAAGTTCCTGTTAGTTATTTTCCCTCTCCAGGGCTCCACCTTGGTTCTTATCACTTCTTTTTTCCTTCTCTACCCTTGCAAATGCAAAAAGAGCCACTGCTCCTTCTCCAGGCCCCTGCAATGCTGCTTCCAGCCTCTAGCCTCCTGGAACTGTTCACACCTGGGGCAACACACTCAAAACTGGAGCTCATGATCTGGTTGCCTGCCTTGCTCAAAGGCTGTAGGCACTTTTTCCATGTTCCCTGCTCCTAAGACCTTTGTATATCTGTTTTTTCCCTTCTAGCCTCCTCAGTGTCAGCCCTTCTCAAAGCCATCTTTCTACCCATTACATGGATGCTTTTTCTGTCCCACAACTCCAGCTGCTCCTTTTCTGCAGATGACTAGGTGACCAACAGCCCATCCCTAACCTGCTGCCTCAAAGAAATAGTTTCCTATCAGGAGATGGTGGAAGGTTCTGCTAGTAGATCAGTCTCAGGAGGCACCAATGCAAGGCCTTCCCAATCCCAGATTTTCCCTGACCATCACTGCGACATCAGGTATCTCAAGTTACCCTGACTCTTTCCCCAACTCCTGTTCTCTCACTGCCAAACAGTTTCTCCATTTAGACTCCATCATGTTCCTCTGTTGGTACCTTAATTTATTAATTAATTTATTTTTGGTACATTAATTTAGAAATCTGAAATGCTTTACTGTCCCTCTCCAACAATCCCTTCTGAGACTCTCCCAATTCTATCCCAATCTACGGACCATTCCAGACTCACCTTGGAAAAGATGAGGCTACGGTAATGAAACATTACTTAAAAAGTGCTTAAAAATCTATTTGTCTTGGGCTGGGGTTGTGGCTCAGAGGCACAGTGCCCGGCTAGCATGTGTGAGGCACTGGGTTCGATCCTCAGTACCATATAAAAATAAAATAAAGATATTGTGTCCACCTATAACTAAAAAATAAATATTTTACAAAAATCTATTTATCTTTTGAAACACAGGAACTCTAATCTACTGTTTCAAACTAATACTGCCGTCATGGACCTCATGTAAAGAGCAGTGGTTAAAATCTCAGATGTGGATGGGTCAGACTAACCAGCCCAGGACTCCAGCCCTGTCTCTAAAAATTTAGCCTCAGCTTCATATCTGGAAATGGAGGGTTGTGAAGAATAAACATGTTCACATGTGTTAATCCCTCAGCTTATTGCCTGGCACATACGAAGCACTTCGAACTTGCCAACTGTAAAGACTGATAAGATTGGATCATTAATTCCTGGGAATATACACAGTTTCTTCCTTTATCCTCCCAGGTTTTTGCTGCTGTCATCACCTAAATCTCTGGGCTTCTCTGCTAATGTGCACTTTAATCTAATTCTAGCCCATCCTTCAGAATTCATTGGGAACTCATTTCTTCCTTCTGATTTCCTAGGCAGTGAGGTCTCTGCTTGCTTCAAGGGCTCTCAGCACTTGAACACCTCTGTGATAGCAAGACCAGGCCATCTTGTGCTATGGTTTGCCTCTGTAGTTTACCTGGTCCATTCCCCATTTATCCTTAGAGATTTGGAATCCTTTGAGAAAAGGATTTGGGCTGAGAACAGTTGGCCAGAAGCAATTTCATTGGCACTGAGAGAGAAATTTAACAGCTCTTTAATGACCCAGCCTACACAATATGTACAGGAAGGGGTATCTGTCTTCGAGAGCAGTCCAGAATCTTCACACTTCTCCCTACTCCTGTGATGGCAGAATTTTAGATTGGACTCACCATTCCGGAGGCGATGCCTTTTGCAAATCTGACCTTCTGCTGCCAGGGGAATGGGTCCTGCAGGGTGGGGGAATGCCAGTCAGAGGCTGTGGCCACAAATGGTGCAGGCCCCATGGGTCAGCATAGTATGCATATGCCAGTGCAGCCTCCCTGTCTGTGCTTGTTCCCCCCAACATGATCTTTGGGGACACAGGTGTCACTCTGAACAGCCTGCCAAGGATCTTGGTGACTATGGGGCAGTATGCTCACCACACTGCGCAGAAAATCCTTCAGTGTACCCCCCTCAATGTATTCTGTCAGCAGGTTCAGCTTCTTGTCCTTGTACAGCACGCCAATGAACTTGAGCACGTTGGGGTGGTCTAGGCTGCGCATCACTTTCACCTGGGTGAGGGTAGAAGGCCAGAGGGTGGATGGCTAACTTTTCACCAAGTCCTCTTCCCTCCACCTGCCAGGGAGTCAGCTCAGCAAGCATGAACTGCCTCTCCTGCCTCCTTTTTTTTTTTTTTTTAATATTTATTTATTTTTTTTAGGTGTAGATAGATACAACACAATGCCTTTATTTGTGGTGCTGAGGATTGAACCCAGTCCCACCTGTGTTAGGCAAGCGCTCTATTGCTGAGCCACAATCCCAGCCCCTCTCTTATCTTATATGATGTGGCCAGGCACTAGGATCAGGGAGAGGGAAGAACACCACTATGTGGATGGGGACGGCCTTATAGGCTTGGCCCTTGGGATCTTGCCTTTCTAGGAACTTTGCTGGTGAATTGGAGTGGAAGGGCCCAAGAGTGAAACAAAGGCCTGGGGAGTAGCACCTAGAATATAGGCATTCCCAACTGAAGCTCCTCCATGGAGGAATGTGGGAGGGATGGTAAAAACTATAGATTATCAAGGGGTATCAGTTTTCTGGGAGTCCTATTCTAGGCACCCTATAGGGTGTTCAGTTGGTGACAGTAGCACTAAGTGGGGAATTAAACTGGTCTGTTTTTTAAATCCATCATTCTCATAGTCTGAGAGTTTCTCTGAACCACATCTTGTTTGTTATCACATTCCTTGTACCCAGCTTGTTTATTTTTTTAGTACCGGGGCTTGAACCTAGGGGTGGGGGTGGGGGCTTTAACACTGAGCTATATCCCCAGTCCTTTCTTTTCTTTTCTTTTTTTTTAGTTGAAGATGGACACAATATGTTCATTTTATTTATTTATTTTTATGTGGTGCTGAGGATCAAACCAGGGCCTAGCACATGCGAGGCAAGTGCTCTACCGCTGAGCCATAACTCCAGCCCCCCTTTCTTTTTTTTTAATTTTTTTTATTTTGACAGGGTCTTGCTAAGTTGCCAGAGGCCAGCTCAAACTTGCAATCCTCCTGCCTCAGTCTGAGTCACTGGGATTACAGGCATGTGCCATGATGCTTGGCTTTGTGCTGTTTTAAAATAAGTTTTCATTGAACAAATTAATTATGCTATAATTTAGCGGGGATAGAGATATTCCTCTAGTGCTGCTCAGTCTTTAAGACAGTGATTCCAAACTAAGTTTTCTCTTGAAACCACTAACCCTCTTCCAATGGTGACACTAAAATCCCACCCCCTACACCACTTTCTTTCTCTCTCCCTCCCTCCCTCCCTCCCCCCAAGCCTTTCTTTTTTGGTACCAGGGATTGAACTCAGGGGAACTTAACCTCTGAGCTACATCCCCCAGACCCCGCCCCCCTGCTTTTTTTTTTTTTTTTGGTACTGGGTATTGAACTCAGGGGTACTCGGCCACTGAGCCCCATCCCCAACCCTATTTTGTATTTTATTTAGAGATACATCTCACTGAATTGCTTAGTCTTGCTGTGGCTGAGGCTGGCTTTGAACTCACGATTCTTCTGTCTCAGCCTCCCGAGCCACTGGGATTACAGGTGTGATCCACCATGCCTGGCTCTTTCTTTTTTTAAAAAGAGAGGGTCTCACTTCAGTGCTGAGGTTGGCCCTGAACTCTGGGTTCAAGGAATCCTCCTGCCTCATTCCCCCGTAGTGGTATAGACTACAGGCACAGTGGCAGCTCCAACCCTACTTTCTTACCTCAGTCAGGAAAGTCTTCTGTGTCTCCTCATCACATCGAATTAACTCCTTCATGACCATCACTTTGCCTGTGGCTTTGTGTGTCACCTACAGAGAGGATGACTATTAATTATGCAGAAACCAGAGGCAGTTCTGGAGAACTGTTTGTGGAAATCTACAGCTGTGGTATAGCTCAATGATAGAGTGCTTGCCTGGCATGCGCAAGGCCCTGGGTTCAATCCCCAGCACCACAAAAAAACAAAAACTAAGCAACTGGCTGTCCCATCCCTTGGAAGATACACTGAGCCACATAAGACCAACAGAGTCCACATGTGGAGGACACAGCATGGGACAACAGGGGACTCTGAGGGAAGTACACCCTCTTCCCTGGAGAGCTGGGCATGCGCGGAGGAGAGGCAAGAATCCAGAGAAGGAAAGTAGGGAAGGAGGCAGGAGGGGACACTGCCAAGCCAAGCAGGGGCTCTGGTCATTTGGTACTGGAGTGAGTCACTTGGGTGAACAGAAGTCTGGTGGAGCAGGAGGGTCAGTGCCACAGACATGCACCAAGGAACAGGGTGGGTGGGGTGAACTCTCCAGCCCCGCTGCCCCACAAGCTGAGATACATGGCTTACCTGACCCCCCCCTCCCAGCTTTCAGCAGAGGAGGAGGAGAGAAAGAGAAAGAAGTTAGTCCCTGGGCTGTTTACCAGGTAAACAGGGTGGCAGGAGCCATTCCCCCATCTCTTCCTTGCAGCATGACCAGCACTGGGGCCTGTGGGTACTTTATACACCCCCACTGACAGAAAAGTTCATCCCAACCCTGGTCTCCTGAGCTACAAGCTCACTATAGAAGTGACATTGCCTTTAGATGGCTAGGGCAGGGTGGGGCAGGGCAACCCTTATATCATAAACTGCAGCCAAGGAGGCCTGATGTCCTGCACAGTGTGGAGTGTGGACTCCCCAAAAGAAGGCAAGAGAGGTGGGGGGCAGAAAAATACAGAAGCTGCTGTCTATGCTCACCTTGATGGCCTGCCCAAAGAAGCCCTTTCCCAGGACCTCCCCATGGATCAGGTCACATGGTCGGAAGATCTGCTGTGAGTAGCTGCTAGAACAGCGGAGGGATTCTGAGCGGCTGATGTCTCGGCTTAGCAGCAGGGGCTCCTTGGGGGAGCTTGGGCCAGGGGACTTAGAGATGCTATTACTGCGCCTGAGGATGAGGAAAAATGAGGGTAGAAGAGATAGTCCTCAGAGACCAGTCAGAATACCCTCAAGGTAGAAACCTCAGGTAAATCCATTTGTTCCAAAATCTGTAGTTCAGATATTATTACTGGGGAGTCTTATATCGACAGATGCTACTTTTGAGTTGCAGACACGAGAAGTTTATTTAAGCATAATAAATTCAAAATGGGAAATACGGAGGCTAGGGATGTAATTCAGTGGTAGAATACCTGTCTAGCATGCATGAGGCTCTGGATTCAATTCCCAAAACTGGGTGTGTGTGTGTGTGTGTGTGTGTGTGTGACAGAGAGAGAGACAGAGTGGGAGGGGAAAAAAAGGTGGTAGGGGGAACTCTGAGTACTTCCTACCTGGAAGAATTAACTAGATTATATTAATTTATAATGTCCAACATATTACAGCATTATAGACTACCTCCCATATCTGCTTGATTCAAGTTACTAATCAGGTTATAGTGACAGCATATTACCATTCAAAATTATCTGGGAGCAGTAATGATTGATGACTGTTACTTTGATTTACTGAAGAAAGGACAAGGAGGCTGAAGATCACAGCACTAGGTGAACAGAAACCCTGCAAACTTCTTTCTGGGGTATACTCCTGCTTTACTGGGATACCCAGAGAGGACTGAGGTTGGGTGGCTCTTGGCTTGTCCTGCCACACAGGCTTGCTTGTTCTTGCTCTTTTGTTTTGCTTCCCACTGAACATGCCCACAAGAGCACATAATGGACCTGCTGGATCTACTTTCCGTCATTCCCTCTCTCCTGTATGATGGCCCTCAAGGTATCTAAGCTGATCTCCAGCCCCCCATATCTTCCCTTTTCCAGGTCATGCATTTATAGACCTTCTCTGCCTTTGGTGCTCTGCCTCTACTAACTCCATCATGCTGACTGACGCCAAGTCAGCCAGGAGTGATGGGAACAACCTGTGGGAAGAATCCTGTTTCCAACAGAGGCCAGCTGAGAGGGCCCTGACTAACTCTGCCTGTTTGACCAGGGGCTAAAGAACTGGATTTCTAAAGATCCTAATAATATTTCACATTTACTGGGTGCTGACCCTAGGCCAACCAACACTGTACAAATCTGTCCCTCTCCACATTTAATCCTAATATAAATGTGAGATAACTGACTCCTCTTCCATAAGCCTCCCACTTGGGGCTTGCACATAGGTGATTGCTCCCTTCCACAGATGTGGCAGACTCTGAGGTATGGGGTGATTGGTTCCTCAAACTAAAACAACTTGACTTCACCTCTTGCTTTGCTTTATCATTTTTAAAGTCCTAATATATACTATATTTTTTATTTTTATTTTTTATTTTTTGGCAGTTCTGAGGATTGAACATAGGGTCCTCTACCATTGACCTATACCCCCATCCCTTTTTACTTTATTTTTGAGACAGGGTATCACTAAGTTGCCCAGGTTGGCTTGTAACTTGTGATCCTCCTGCCTCAGCCTCCTGAGTCACTGGTATTATAGGCATGAATTACTGTGCCTGGCTCATTATATATACTTATTCAATCCTACCTGTGCCTATACTCCCAGTTCTGAGCCCCATACTTCCTCCATGTTGCCCTTTAGTGTTTAACATCACTACTTCTTTTCTAGCTCAGGAATTCAGTGGAGAGAGCCTAACTTTTGTTTCTAAGAAAACCTGGCAAGCAGCTGGGTCTGCATAGACCTTGGCTATAAAAAGTGATTCCCATAGGGTAGCTGGGTCAATATAAGCCCTCATAGCCTGTTCCTGGCCAGATGGTTTCCTTCTAATGTTGCTGGACTTCAAAAGTCAGCTCAGCTTCGGAGGTTGAAACACAGGACAGAATAGAGCTGGGGTGGGAGGTGGCACCTCAGGGAGCGTCTCCTCAGTGTCCCCTCCAGATTGTCCTTGGTGTCCAGAGTGCTGAGGGTGTGAGAATGTCCATCATTCTGTATGTGGGGAGAAAGCCGGGCATCTAACCGCAGCTGGTCCAGGCGCTGGGAGACGGGGTCATGTTCAATCAACAGCTGAAGTGTCTGGCTTGTTTGGCTAATTGCATCTTCCACCTATGGCCAAGAGCAGTGTAAGGCTGGCTCCCACAGGCTGCCCCATCCCAGGCTATCCACTGCCATCCCAGATGAGCCAAGCATTGTGGCCAATGCTCCATTTGGCTAATGATGGTCTCCAGATACCAGCAGCCTCAGAGTAACCTCTGCCTGACATTCTGGCAGCCCTGTCATCTGCTGCCCTAAGAACCTGCTAGTAACAAAGGAGGTCACTAGTGGCCACAGGCTCAGTGCCAAGACAAAGAAATGGCTACAATCTAATCTTCTGAGAGGGTCTGTTTCATGTCCCACCCCCATAAGACAGACAAGACATGCTGTACCTCCTCCACTTGGAGTGTGCGGACAGGGGTGCCATTGATCTCCAGGATGCGGTCCCCAGGGTGGATGGCATTGCGGTTGTTGGGACTGATGTGCATCCGGTTGACCCTAAGCCAGACAGGAGTTGAAGCAGGATGAAGATATCCTAAAAACTCACCAGAACCAATTATGCTTGAGCAGAGAAGGTTCACCAGACCCCAGGCCCCACTGATCCATGTGGCCCAGGCACCCCTCCCCCCAACAGAAAGGTAACATCCTTTGCAGGATGTTCCACCTCAGTGAAGAGCATCGGCACTCACCTAGTGGTCTAAACCAGAAACTTGGACATCACCTTCCTCTCTGGAGTTCCCTCATTCCCTCCCTCCCTCCCCCCACCCCCTGCCCATTTCTGAGAATCCTGCCTTCTCTCCATCACCATAGTTACCAACACATCTTACCTGGATCACTGCAACAGCCTCCTAACTGGTCTCTATGTCTCTAGACTCTTTCTTCTCCCATGTAACCTCCATACCAGTGATCCTTCTAAAAGGTCAACCTGGTCACTTCACCTTGTTGATTAAATCCCTCAATGAACCTGCTGGATCTTCATAATCCAGGCTTTCTAGTCTCTCTTTTGTTTTTTGTGTATGCTTTTTGGTATACCCCCAGCTCTTAATTTTTAAATTTGAGACAGTCTGGATAAGTTGCTGAGGCTGGCTTTGAACTTGTGATCCTCCTGCCTCAACCTTCTGAGTTGCTGGGATTACAGGTGTCCTCCATGCTTAATAGTCCTTTCTCTGGTTACTGTCAATCAACAACAGACAAAACCACAAACTCCCCGCTCTGTAGAGATGCTTCTCTTCCTCTGCCCTGAATACAATTCCCTCCCCTCTTTTTTATTTGAAGTACTGGGGATTGAAACCAGGGGCAGTCTATTACTAAACTATATCCCATACTTTTTAAAAATTTTTGGGACAGGGTCTTATGTTGCCAAGGTTGGCCTCAAACTTCTGATCCTCCTAAGCCTCCGAAGACACTGGGATTTCAGAGTGCACCATCATGTCTGGCTCCCCCTCTTTTTTTTTTTTCTAATGAGACTGAAAAGCAAAGCTTACTTCCTCCTGATTTCGTCAACCCTAATACTTCTCACCTATGTTGTAAGCTCTGACTTCATGCCGAACACATACAAGCAATATTTACAGGGTAATGGCACTGGTGTCTGATTACTGGTATTGCATGAACATGACTATCTTTTCCTTGGCCTGGACCTAGGATGGAGTCTTATCCTCTTCGGGCCACGGATCTCATTTTTTCCTTTCTACATTCATTCATTTACTCAAACAACAAAACAATAATAAAAGAATGCCTGCCAATGCTAGTCACTATTCCAGTCCCTGGGCATGTAAGTATTGAATAAGACAAATCAATTTCCTCTGGATATTACATTCTAGTCAGGAGAACAGATGATAATCAAACTAATATAGATTAATTGAGTCAGATAATTTTGAAGAACAAACATGATCTAAAATCTGACACCTGAAAATGAGAGATTCTGGCTCTAAGCATCTGATAGGAAGCAGTCTAGGTTAAAAAGAACTCTAAGTGCCAAGGACCAGGTGTGCTTACTATATAGTGAGCTCCAGGAAAAGATGGGAGATGAGGATTAAGGGAGCTTTGCATAAGACTCTGGAGTTCTGAGCTCTTTCAGGCACATCTGTGGACTGCACTGAAGAGTTCCTTAACATACTCACTCTTTCACTTGCACAGTGGTGGCATAGTTGGAGCAGGCACTTTCTACAGACACGGTGAAGCCCCGCCTGCCCTCAGTGGTAGCTGGCATGGAAATGAGCGTGACAGAGTAGGGCAGCTGGTCCTGAACAGATTCTGTGGAGAGCCTCTCAAACATGGGTGCCAACACCACCTCATTGTGGCATTTTCCACTGGAGAGAGAACACAAAGGGGGCTGAGCTCCTGAAGGCTCCCCAGACCCCCCCACCGGAAGTTCCCTCAATACTGGACCAGGTGGCTTTAACCAATACTATCTACAGGGTCATCATCACCCTCTGTCATTATTCTTGATGGCTATTAGATAGAGGAAACTGGATTCTCTGGGGTGGGCTGGCACTGGGGGTAGTGAAGTGGATCTGCAATGGGTGGTGTACTAGGAAAAACCCTCACCTAGGGGTGAGATGATCTTTGTTTTCTTGCTCTGCTTTTGATTTTTTTTTTTTTTTTAAGTACTTTGCTCCAGGTCCTGTCTCCCTCAGTCCCCACCACACACACACTTCTTTTGTCAATCCAGGTAATTGGATATGGTGAGACAGGTGAGCTCTAAGGAGCCTTTGCCTTTAATGGTCTGAGATCTTCCTTGGAGAGCATCTTTACTCTGGGAGGATCTCAGGGTAGAGTGAGGTTAGATGGTAGATAAGGACAGAGGGCACAGAGATGTTAATGGTTCTGCTTATGGACAACAGAGCTGTTTCACAGCATTGCTATGATAGGAATCTGGTGCTCTGACCACCAACAGTCTTTCTACCCAATTCATGCTGCCACAGGCACCTCTTTCCTGGCCACATTGTAGGGGAGAACAGACACAGGGCCACCATCTTACCAGTAGAGTGTGGCATGCTGTACCAGGGCATATGCATCCCCATCCTCGATGATCACCTTGCAGCTCATACAAGCAAAACACTCTGGATGGTACTTGAATTCCCCAGCCACCTGTGATCAGGTAGGGAGAAGGGTACAGAGAGAAAAAGTGAGTCATCACTGTTATTGGAGGGATAGGTGAGTGACTTCAAGTCAGAGCTCTATAAACCCCAGTAAAAAATCTACTCTTTCTAATAAAGAATTAAAATCCAGCCTTTTAATCCTTGACATAGAGCTTCCAAAAGAAGTATCAGATTGGTGCCTCCTGTCACTCCTCAAGGTTAAAATAAACAACAAATAAATAAATGTGTGTGTGTGCGTGCGTGTGTATGTATATATTGATCTCAGTCATGAGAATGCATTCCTAGAAATAATCACATGCATTACAAAGGCTCATTCCTTCAACACAGGGTTGGCAAGTCTAGGCTATACTTAAAGCCTTCTGTCTAGAGCAGGTAAGGGAGACAGAAACTTTCGGCCAACTCATTCTAGGTTCTCCCTTTCTGATCCCTGAAAACAACCTAGGTGTATCTTCCTATCAATCTGTAATACTTTCATTTAAGGTCCTTATTCCACTGTACTGTGTCTCCTCCTTTGTCTATCCACCCACTCCCAACACTGGACTGTTAAATCTTTGAGGAAAGAATCATAGCTGTTAATAAGTTCACAATAGACACCTGTTGGTAGAATGAATGAAGGGGAGACCCTGACTGATAGGAAGTCCAAAAATGATGACCATAGGGAACTGGAAGCACTGTCAATAGACTGCAATGACCAAGAATGGCAGAGATGCAGGGACCCACTCACCATGACAGGTCCTGTCATTAGCAGGGAGCACCCATGGCAGAACTCCCCAAACTTCCTCCAGTAGTCCTTGTGGCAATAAAGCTTCCCATCCTTCTCGTAGTACCAGTTGGTGAGGGAATCCTGGCATTCTGAACACCTGTTGAGGCAAGACAAGAACAGAAATGCCCTTAGATCCCTGCCACCATACACACAGGTTGTTCCTGGCTCCCAGGTTCAACAGTCCTCTCTTTGATTCAGAGGCAGGAAGTGGGAAAGTTATAGCTTAGTGCCATCTCCCCAAAGGAAGCTGGTTCAGAGTGAATGAGGCTCCCGGAGCTAGCTCTGCACTGCCTGCCTCTGTAAGCAGAGTCTTTGGGTCTTGGAGCCTTCTGAGAATCTAAAAAGAGCCAAGAAACCTCCCCCAGAAAAATGAACATATAAGGAAAATGTGCATATAATTTGGTGTGGAGTGTGTGTGTATCAAGGATTCCCTGAAGCCAATTCATGACTCTAGTTAAGAACCTTAGATCTAGACAGATATTTCAATAGGCCAAAAAAGTTCAATCATTTTCACTCTTCAAAACCTACCCATGGGCTGGGGATATAGCTCAGTTGGTAGAGTGCTTGCCTTGCATGTACAAGGCCTTGGGTTCAATACCCAGCACCACAAAAACAAAAAATAAAAAAACAAGAAACAAAAACCTACCCATTACCAACAGCATTATGATAAAATGTTCTTGCCAAAAAACATGTTAAGCATAAAGAAGCTCATCAGGCAAATCCTTAATGTAGGTTATTCTATAAGGCAACTGATCTTTTTTTTTTTTTAATTTTTTAATTTATTTTTTAGTTTTCGGTGGACACAACATCTTTGTTTGTATGTGGTGCTAAGGATCGAACCCGGGCCTCCCGCATGCCAGGCAAGCCCGCTACCGCTTGAGCCACAGTCCCAGCCCCAGGGCAACTGATCTTGATGCTTCCAAAAAGTTAATATTGATAAGAAGGGAGAAGTATTTATATTCAACTAATTTTTTTAGGAGGGATATGGGGTCTTGCTATCTCACTATATTGTTCAATATTTCCTCAAATTCCTCAAGGGAATCTCCTGCCTTGGCATCCCAAGTAGCTGGGATTATAGGTACATGCCACTATGCATGGTTAAACTCCCAATTTGTTTTAAATGATTTTTATTGGTTTATTACAATTAAACATATTAGTAGGATTCACTGTGACATATTTGTTCTACAAGCACATTACATAATTTTTTTGTAGTTGTAGATGAACATGCCTTTATTCTATTTTTTGTTGTTGTTGTTAATGTGGTGCTAAGGATCGAACCCAGTGCCTTACACATGCCAGGCAAACACTCTGCCACTGAGCCACAACCACAGCCCACAGCCTGATGCATTATGTAATTTGAGCGATCTCATTCTAAAGTACCTCCCATTTCCTTTTCTTCCTGTCTGTCTCTGATCCACTGCTCTACTGATCTTCCTTTTATTAGTAGTATTTTAATTAGAGCATTATAATTTTATGTAAATAAATAAAAGCAGAATTAATTGTGGCATATTTGTACAAGGACATAAAATTTTTTTCCCCAGAATTTCCCCAAGTCCTCCCCTCTTCCCTCCCTCTTGATCCTGTTCCTCTACTCTATTGGTCTCCCTTCTCTTTTTATGTAGACACCCTATTCTTATCCTCAAGGCCTTGCATTACCTACACTGGCCACATCCTCTCTTCTAAGAGGCAGTGTGGGCTGCCTCTTGGTTTAAATTCTGATCCTGCGACTTACAACTTATGTCATCTTGGGAAGATCACTTCTTTGATCCAATTTTCTTATCTGTAGAATGGACTGCTAGGAAATTTAATGAAATACTATGTATTAAATGTATAGATAGCTTATATAAAAGGCCTAATACAGCAGGAACTCAATAAATATTAACTTTAATTAAAGATGATAATGAGGGGTTGGGGTTGTGGCTCAGTGGTAGAGCACTTGCCTAGCATGCATGAGGCACTGGGTTCAATCCTCAGCACCACATAAATATAAAATAAAGTCATTGTGCCAACTTAAAACTAAAAAATAAATATTAAAAAAAGATGATAATGATATAGGTAAGAGATTACAGTGATGCTACTACTTCCAAGCACTGCAGGAAGTAGAGATAGGAAACAGGAATGAGTTAAAACAGCTGTGAAAAGCTGCCAAGCTAAGGAGGTCTAGAGAAGCAGGACCCTGAAAATCCCCTTATCTTCCAGAAGTGTACAATTCCTCCTGGGTGTTCAAAAGACACTGATAACTATTCCTACTTCATAGTCTTGTCCAGTGGATGCTGAATTTCAGGATCTTGAGAGCTGGGTATGGTATGGAGAGTGTGCATATTATTTATAATTGTACAGTGAAGACAAAGGAAGAAGAGAAGACCCTGTTCTGGGCAAGGGGCCCAAATTTAATGTAAGACACTTGTTGGATGAATAGTTCATTAGGAGAGAGATCTGGGTTCAAGTTCTTGGGTGCCACAAGCCCCTTTCCCTCTGTAGGTTCCCCCAACTGTGAAATGAGGAGATACACTGTCTCCCAGATCCCAACTCTGTGCATATCAGTATTTTTTCCCCAGCTGACCTGAGGTTCTAAACTCGGAATTAGCATCCACCTCCTAAGTGATCTTGAGCTAGGCCTTTCACTTCTCAGTTGTGAAATGGTAACATCATCACCTTCTGGGTAGCAGTGTGGATTAAATGTGGTTCTGACCTTCAGGTACTTAGCAGAGGGCCCCACTACAAGGAGGGGCTTCCTTCTTGCCTCCTACCTACTGACTTAAAGCTCATGAGCTAAGGAGGTCTAGAGACCTTTCTCCTTCACCATACTGTTAGCTCTCTGAAAGCAGTGACAGTGTCCTAATTACTCTTGGTAGACTCAGTATCTATGCCAATGGCCCAGCAGAGTAGCAAATGTTTCCAAACTGAAAATGGGGGAGTGGCAAGAACCAGTAGTCCAGGTAGGAGCATAAAGGTTCCATAATTCCTGTCACCAGGCCCTGCCTTTCTCCTGTCTGCAGTGGAGAAAAGCTGGTACAGACACTTTTGTACCCAACTGCAGGCTTGGGCTGTTACGCCCTTGCAATGGTATGTGCGCCACAGGGCAGGGGAGCACCAGAACACGCCCTCCTTTCTATTGCCAATATCCTGCTTTTGTTCACTCCAAGTAGCCCTGGCCAGGCCCAGGAGAGGGAGCTAGGAGAGGAACGAGTGCAGGCATGCAGGAGATGGTCACACCAGTCAGCTGGGAAGAACACCTGGTTGGAGAGCGACATCAGCAATCACATCTGTGTCAAGGAAAGCCTTTGAAGGGTATAGCCAGATACAAGGCCAAAGTAATCACCACAGGTGTCTCTGAAGAACAGGAAGGTGAACAGCTGATAGGAAGACTGGTTATGGGTCCACAGCTCTGTTTTGCTACAGAAGGCAACTGGGTTCTTAGGCCACTGGAAACTTTAGTGTTCTAGCTTAGGTATTAACGATATCTGCTATTCTTTGAATGCCACTCAAATTCCAGCCATGGTATAGGATGCTTTCCTTAAATTATCTTTAATCCTGACTATAACTCTGCAAGGTGGAAGAATTATTCTTTTGTGTGTGTGTGTGTATGGTATGGGGATTGAAGTCAAAGGTGCTTTACTACTAAGCTATACCCCGATCCCCTTTAAAAAAATTTTTTTGGGGGTATTAGGGATTGAACTCTGAAGCACTCCACCACTGAGCCACATCCCAAGCCCTATTTTGTGTTTTATTTAGAGACAGAGTCTTACTGAGTTGCTTAGGGCCTCACCATTGCTGAGGCTGGCTTTGAACTCGCAATTCTCCTGTCTCAGCCTCTTTAGCTACTAGTATTTCAAGTGTGCCACCTCATCCAGCCCTTTTTAAAATTTTTGAGATAGGGCTTCACTAAACTGACCAAACTGGCTTTGAACTTATGATCCTCCTGCCTTAGCTTCATGAGTTGCTTGGATTACAGCCCCATACCTGGCTTTATTTTTTTTATTTTTTATTTTTTAAATATTTTTATTAGTTATTGATGGACCTTTACTTATTTATTTGTTTATATGTGGTGCTGAGATTTGAACCCAGTGCCTCACACATGCCAGGCAAGTGCTCTACCACTGAGCCACAGCCCCAGTCCACCCTGGCTTTATTTTTTTGAGACAAGTTCCCTCCAAGTTGTGTGGGCTGGACTTGACCTTGTGATCCTTCTGCCTCAGCCTCCAGAGTCTCTGGGATTATAGGCATGTGCCATAGCACCTGGCTAGGATCATTCTTGCTTTCAGACCAGAAGACTGAAAACCAAAGTCTATGTCAAATCACCGTGCAAAGTTGCCCAACCCTTAAACAATAAAGTTGGAACCTGAACCTATGGGTACTTGGTGAGGAAGCCGTCTCCTCTGTACATCATCTGAATGATACAGCATGTCTCAATAGCTAGGCTTCAAAATTCTGATCTGTGACAATGAGAAGGCTAGCATCCTGATAGCTCAAGTCACTTCAAGTATTAACCCTTTGGGGTTATTCTCCTTTAGCTAAACAGTGAATGTTAAATGGCACAATTCATTTTTTTTCCTTCATTTATTCCAGTTTTCTGTTTTCCAGCAGTTATCTCTGTCCTTTAGGAAAAAACAAAAAATCAAAAACACATTCTGGAAATATAAGGCACTACTAAAAAATGTCTCACCTCAGATTCTTAGAGCCCATAACCACCATAGGTTTTCCCAAAGCCAAAGCATTTTTCCAGTTTTCAATTTTTGAAAGTTTAAAGTGGAAGCCAAAATGTGCCATGGCTGCAGATCCAAGGGCACTCACATGGGAGGTGTTAAAGCTGGGGTCAGAAGCCAGGGCTGAGGCATTGGTCTCTAGTTTCCTGAGCAGTAAGAGAGTAAGAGCTAAAATCCTTAAATGCAGGGAGATCACCCAGAAGCCCACACACTGAGGCTGCACTTAAAAACAACCTGCCAAACTTCTCTTTCAAAACATTACAGAGGGCCTGAACAGATACAAAGTGAATGAGACTCTGATAGCCACTTTAGCAGGTCAGCTCCGATCCAAACTGAGACCTTCTGAATCATCAGAGAACACACACATAATCAGCTGAGATTTTTCACAAAAAGTTCATTTACAGCATATCACCTAAGGACAGTTACTTCATGGCTCTGTGCCTCAGTCTCCTCATTTGTACAGAATATTGGCGTTGCTAAAATCTCATGGGGTTATTAGAATTATGTATAAGTACCCCACACAATGCCTAACTCACAGCAGACGACCAGTAACTGTTTTCTTCCCTCCCCAATTTGAGAATACTATAGGAAAATGCTGACAGACTTATTTCCCTCCCATGCTTAGGAAACACAGATCTGCTTCTTATCCAGAACCAAACAGATTTCTGTAAGTAGAGAAGGAAAATCTAATCAATTAGAAACCAATCAATCTAATCAATTCCTAACAATTAGGATATAGTTACTGTATATCTTGGATGTGTTAGAACAAGCAAGCAAGGTGCTATGCCAGAAGCCGCCAAGTGAGATTCGATATTGGCCCAGACCTCACACACACACCCAAATTCTTCAGACCAAATGTTTACATGTAAATTATCAACCTTATGGAGTAAAGGAGCCAAACAGTCATCATTATAGTGGATTTATGCAGGTTAAAGAACAAGCCCTTCCATGTCCTAGAGAAGGCCCAGCTGAATGCTCATCCTTAACTTGCCAGTTGTGGCAAAAGTTCTTTGAGCCTCTTGCCTGAGTTCTGACTGGGATGAACAGGAGGAAGGAAAGCTCCCTTAGTCATAGCCTGAAAGTGCCAAGAGTGGGAATGCCAATTCTCCCCTGAGGACCCAGAAGGGCAGATATAATAGGGGCCTAAGAGATTCAGGTCCACCAGAGCTAAGGCTTTTATCACCAAAGATCCTTTTATTATGTATATGCCTCCTTCCTGCAGACTCTGTGGATTGAAATAGCCAAGTAAGGTGTAATTATTATGGAATATAATTCTTTTGTAAAAAAATTAACCAACCCATAACAAGCCTCTGATCAGCAAGAAGTGTTACCATAATGCATTGATGAAGTTCCAACCAAAACCAAGAAGCCCATAGTTTCAAGTAATTTGTGCAACTGTACTGCAATTAAAGATAGGGCTTCCATTATTTGGGGGAAAAAATGGAAAGAAGTTTGTGTGTCTCTGAGGAGCTATGTAAGTTGCAGAGTTGGGAAGCACTGACCTCATCCAACTCTTTTATGTTTCAGATGAAGAGAAAAAGAATCCTAGAGGACTGAAGGTAGCTGCCAAATGTTACTGTTAAATTGGGCAGGGTTAATAATTTCTGCTTTTAAATGTGGGTCCTTTAGAATACAAAGATGCACTTGTTTCCTTCAAGAGATAATGTGTAAAGCCAAGCTCCTCAAATAAATGTTGGACATTAAGAAAAATTCTATAAAAAGAAAACATTTCTTTAAAGAGGTCAGATACTCACTGGGGTGGGATGTGGCTTAATGGTAGAACATTTGCCTAGCACATGCAAGAGTTTGGGTTCGATCCCCAGCACTGCAAAAGGGTGGGGGAAGATCATTCCTAATTTATTTCTGTAAATTCCAATTTGGGAGTGCTCCTACGATTCCACTACACCCCTCATGACAGTGGCATGGGCAGGGAAGATGTGGTGTGGCCTTCCAGGCAGGCATATACAAGGCACTGAAATGACATTCTTCATTCCCTCTTCCCTCCCTCACACAGTCACGCCTGATCATGTCCCCGTGGAATCTGGTTGCGTCACCTTCCTTGCAACCACAGCTCCTGAACTCTTGTGGACTTTGTACTCCTCCAGAGACATGAGGGTCAAGGACTTAATTTGTTAGATTCTGGCAAGGGCCCTGTTTAAGAGCCTAGGAAATCTAGCCTTACATTATGCCAAAGAGGAAACTAAGGCCTAGGGAAGGGACAGGAACTAAGTCAGAGATATGTCCTTGAAGATGCCTGAAGAAGGGGGTTGATGGCAGAAGCAGCTTTCCAACCAGTGAGTTAGCCTAAAACCTGGAAGAGCAGAGGATGTGGGTGGTCTCTCCTCTGGACCTGTGTGCTCTTCAGAAGTGGCTTCAGAAACGTGGCCTCTCACTTAAGGGAGGACGAAGGGTCTGTACTCAGTGACTCAGTAGTGCTTTGACTCCAGTTTGACACAAGAGTTTTGGGGGTAGGGGTGAGGTCATCAGGTTCTCTAAAGGGGCTGGGGCAGAACAAGACAAAGGATAAGCACCGGTAGCCTGGCCCTCAAAGATCCAGGGTAAGAGGTCATCATCACCTGCTCTAGCTCCAGCTCCTAAGAAGTCATGTCTTGACCCCCATAAAAGGGGCATATTAGTCTTGGCACCTAAAGGAAAAACCCTTTCCCCAAACTGCCTTTCAGGATTAAGAGTAAGAGGAATTAATGAGGACTGAACTAGTGAGTGCTGCAATACTTGGCATATTGATTTCACATTCAAAATCCAACTCAAGATCAACTCCTACTGGCTCCTCAGAAAAGAATCTCTTCAACATGCTAGGCAACCCATCCCTTTTTCTGCTCTCTGCTGGGAGAGGAAAGCAAACCTGACAAGACCCCTGGGGGAGATGAGGATAGAAGACACTGCGACAGCCCAAAGGATGAAAGATAAGAAACTCAGAAAAAGCTGGCGAGGAAGACCCTGCATGTTACCTTTGTTGAAAATGGTTGCCTCATCTGTAAAATGGGGATACGTAATCTCTTTAGGCTTGAGAGATTAAAGGATAAAATGCCTGTGATGCCTAGTATAGTCAGCATCCAGGACTGGTCCCTCCCCTGGTCCAGATGCTTCCCACCACTCTATCAGGATCAGTCATTTAGTGAAACCAAATGGTAACTGCTTTCTGCTTAGGGCCTGGCCACCTGACAGTAAGTATCCCAGAAGCAGTAATATCTGGGCATGGAGCTGGGTTGGGGAAGCCACAAGAAAAAGTCAACCAGGACTGTTGGTGAGGGGGAGGCAGCCCTTAGAACAGCAGTTTCCCAAAGAATAAAAACAAGCCCCACCCCAGTCAGGAATGGCTCCATTCAGAAGGGACCCAGAGGGCCAGAAACCCCTTGGGGAGTTTCTATTGGAGGTGGGGTGGGGCAATGTGCAAAGAAAGGCAAGTCAGAAGAAGAAAGTTTCCATACCTCCCTCTGAAAAGCTCCAGAGAGAGAGGCCCCCATAAATACTTAGGCCTGAGGATTAGGTGTGTGTTGGGGGGGCAGTGTAAGGGCTGGCCTAGTAGCTCAGAACACTCCAAAACCAATTTCTCCATTCTCAGAATCCTTGCTCCAGCCTCTCCCCAACAATATACTCACCTAGGAACTTAGAAGCCCTTCAAGGCCAGGGGTAAATGTGCCTGCCATTAAGAGAACAGACATTTACAGGGTGCCCACTGTGTACCAGGCTACCCACACCCAGGCCTTGCCAGCTTCCACACTTTGGCAAAACCTGCCTGTCCTGCTTGTTGGGACAAATTCTTGGGCAGGCAGCATGGCCTGCAGGTAAGACATGTGAGAGCTGGAAGAACAGCACCTATTTGTGCTCTTCCCCCGGAAGCAGTAACACTAAGAGCAGGCCATGTCAGCGGTATCTTTTGGAGGCTCTTCCAGGTGTGTCTGGGAAGGAAGAGAACTGGAGCTCCCTAGAAGCCTCCTTCTGGGCTTACCCCTCACCTCACCATTTCCAGGACAAGTTGGGTCCCCTTTACCAGGCAGGTTCTGCCTGGCAGAAGCAATGGTTAAGGGATAAGTGAAGTCAGAGAAGCAGATTCAGGAAGCTTTCTGCCCTCCTCTCAGGACAGGGGGCCAGGAGAGAAGATGAGAAAGAGAACTCGGAGACCAACTCACCGAAAAGGGTCTCTGGAGGTGAAGTAAGCTGGGACGGACAAATAACTCCCCATCTTCTTCCCACAAGACTAACAGGCTCAGCTGCAAACCCGTCTGGGAGTGCCTCAGGCCAGCTGCAGACGGCCACCATGACAGGTCCCGGTTCCTCTGGCTGGGGGCGAGCTGCCCTGCACGCTCACCTCTCCCTCCGGAGCAGCAGGAGGAGGGTGAGGACTCCAGGCCACTTGGCCCCCACCAAATTCCCGCAGGGGTTCATGGCTGGGACGGCTCCTCCCTAGTTCTCGGAAGCTCAGATGGCCCCTTGGGATTCCCAGACAACCACCTCTCTGCAGAGGTTATACACATACAGGCATTCCTGGGCAGGGGTTGGTGACTAGCTAAGAAAGAAGCGCTGCTGTCAAGTTAGCTTTCTTCTTCAGTCCCACCCCCGAATGAGGGAGGGAGGGAGGGAGGAAGAGGAGGGGCTCTTGCAGAATCGAGGTGTGTGGTTGGAGCAGCTGTTAGGAAACAGACCTTGCAGCAAGGGGTGGAGCTGGGCCGGAGCGAGGCTGCAGGCAGGCGCTGCAGACAATAACTAGGGCTGGCCGAGAGCGTCCATCCCAGAGCTCAGAGGAGGACAGTGTAGGAGAGGGTCAATGCATCTGACTCCAATGTCCCCAGCCTGAAGAACTACCTAAGACAGTAACTCTGCTCAGAGGTGAAGCACAGGATGCCAGCTCCAGGCAGAGCCATTCCCCCAGAAAGGGGGAACCTCTGCAGGATAGACAGTCCAGAGAGAAATCTTCAGCTCTAGGATGGCTTCTACTCTGTCCTGGTATTAGGGCCCCCATTTACCCTTTTCCTCAGACTGGTCTGGGACATCCCCAAGAGCTGGCCCATGGGAGCTGCCACTTCTATTCTGGGTCAGGGCTTTGCTACAGATGAGGAAACAAGGCCCAGAGTATTAACCAACACCTAATGTGATTCTATGTGGCAAGCACTGTATGCATACTCTTGTTTCTCTGATAGGAATTAACCCCACTTTATAAACTAGGGAAGTGAGGTACAAACCAGGCGTGGTGGCGCACACCTGTAATCCCAATGACTCGGGAGGCTGAGGCAGGAGGATTACAAGTTTGAGGCCAGCCTCAGCAATTCAATGAGACCCTCAGCAACTTAGCAAGACCCGGTTTCAAAATAAAAAATAAAAAAAAGGCTGAGGATAGAGCTCAGTGGAAAAATGCCTCTGGGTTCAATGTTTAATCCCTAGTACTGAAAAAAAAAAAAAAAAAAAAAAAAAAGTGAGGTAGAGGGAGATTAGGTAACTTACACAAGGCCAAAAAGCCAGTCAGTAGGGGACTGGGATTTATATGTTGACCACTGTGACCCCAGAGCTGCAGCTCTCAAACACCAAGCTTCATTCCTCCCCTTCAGGGGAAACATCTCTTTCAAAGCCCACTGACTGTATTTGGAGCCAGGTCACTTGTGCCCTCTCATTCATTCCCAGAATGCCATCACTTGGCCTCAGTGGGCAGTGGTGCTTCTTCCATTGTGTCTAAACGTACCACACTGGCAGAAGCAATGGTTAAGGGATAAGTGAAGTCCCTTAACCATTAAAACCTATAAAATGAGGCACGATGGAGAAAGCCTGGGGTGCCTTTGGGGATGACAGGCCTAGATATCTGGGATGGGAGTCCCCTTGAAGAGTCCTGCTGTGAGGCTGGTGAAACCTGAGCATTCAATGGAGAAAGCCCCTTATCCCTCTGGCCTGCAGGGCTGTGAGAAAAAAGGCTGCTGGAAGAGACAGGAGTGCCCAGACTTCACTATTGGACTTGAAGCAGTGACACAGGCTGTCTCCCATTAAGCACATACCCCTCTCCACTGGAAAGATCCAGAGTTGCCTTGCAGCTGCTGTCTGTCATTGTGAAACATGGCAGGAAAGTCTGTGACAAAGGTGGTAGTAAGAAAGTCTTTTCCCATTCCTCCAATTAGGCACAGGAATAATAATGAGTGTGGTGAGAGAGACTGGAGCTGGGTATGATGGCATACACCTGTAATCCCAGCTACTGGGGAGGCTAAGGCAGGAGGATCACAAATTCAAGGTCAGCTTGGGCAACTTAGCAAGACTGCTTTAAAATAAAAAGTAAAAAGGGCTAAGGATGTGGTTACTGTTGCTAAGCAGTGAAGTGTCCTTGGTTCAATCTCATTGCTGGAGTGAGAGAGAAAGGGAAAAAGAGATGGATAGACAGATACTGGGTTTGTATCCTGTATTTATTGAGCATTTAGTATATTTCAGGCCCTGTGTTAAGCACTATCCTTCTATTACCTATCATATTTAAATTGTCACTGTATAAGGCAGAGGTTATAACCCACTTAACAGATGAGGAAACTTGAGATTTCAGTTATTAGTCTAAAGACAAAACAGCTGGTAAGTGGTAAGGGTGAGGCTGGATTTCAAACCCAGTAAAGTATGCTTCTAGAGCAGGGGTCAGAAAACATTTTCTGTAAGGGGCCAGAGTACAGATACTTTAGGTTTTGGGACATACAGATTCTGTCACTACTACTCAACTATACCATTATAGTATCAAAGCTGCCATATATGAAATATACACAAATGGACAAGGCTATATTCCAATAAAACTTTATTTGTGGACAGTGAAATCAATTTCATATAATTTTCATGTGTCACAAAATAGTCTTTTTCTTTCCTTGCAACCATTTAAAAATATAAAAATTTCAGGCAGTAAGTAAACATTTGCCCATCAGTTTGTGTTCTAAAGCTACAGAGTTCAACCATTCTCTCACTGCCTTTAATAACAAAGAGCAGCTTCTGGCATTTGTGCAGAACTTAGACACCACATCCAGCCCCAGAGGCAGTGCCCATTGAATGGGTGCCCAACCTGCACCAGGCACTGCTTGTGGTACCTACCTGTATATATGAATGGATTTTAATCCACACTGTTTGGAAGAGCTGTGATCCTGGCCCCACTTTTCTTTTCTTTCTTTCTTTCTTTTTTTTTTTTTTTTTACAGATAAAGGAACTGGGGTGCAGAAAGATTAAATCATTTGCCTGAGGTCATCTAGCTGTATAACTGAGAAGTGAAGCCAGGATTTGAACCTAGACAGTATAGACTGTGCTCTACCATGCTGTACTGGAGCGCAGCCTGGGCTCACAGCCAGACTGTCTGGGTTTGAATGCGACAATGTGCTGCATGTAAGCCCTTGGCACCAAGTCTGGAACACATTAAGGGTTGATAAATGTTAGCTGTTAATATCATTAGGACTATTGTTACAACTACCATAGGCTAGCTATGTGGCCTTTAGCAAGTCCCTGTCTCTGTCTGGGCCTTGATTAGGTCTCTAAATAGCTTTCAGCTTCAGTAGTTTTCAGCCCCGTGAGGTTGTGAAGGGCTCCCTGTTTTCTTTGGGTCTAAAGTTGAGTTGAACCTCTTGGGCTGGCCTTGCAAGGATCAGGATCCTGACTTTGGGGCCACACAAGAGACACAGAGGAGGGAGGGGTAGAAGGGTGGGGACAACACACAGGATACTGCAAGAACTACACAGCTGAAGAGCCAGAAACACTTTCTTCTAGCTACAGGGCCAACTACTTCTCACCAAAAATATATTACGTTCCCCTGTAATTCGATCAGGCAAGGAGGGCCTCTAAATTAAAACTGGAACTAGCAAATCATCTTCTAATTGCACCCTCTGATTTCCATCTGATGAAGAGAATGTAGAAGGAAGAAAATGCACGCCACAAAGAGACTTGAGGCCAGGGAACCCATGAGCATAACTCCTCTTGACATTTCACACAGCTCTGCTGTTCCAGTGGCGGCGGGCGCAGTGAGTCGGTGTCTAGGAATGCAAGCAGGAGGATGCAGGCTTTCTCTTCCCCCACTCCCCTTACAAAGGATGCAGCGGGTGGGTGGGTGGGGAACTGGTGAGAGGACTTCTCAGTGCCACAAAACTGCCTCCCCCTTCAAGAAGGGCAGCCAACTTCTAGTGTCCTGAACTAAAAGTGAAGACCCTCCCAGGTGGAACTGATTTGACCTCTGAAAATCCAGCTTCAGGAGGACTGACCATCAGATGTGATAAGACATTTTCTGCTCAGACCCAAGTGTATGGTTCCTTATGGCCAAAGTCAAAGGGCCCAAATCACCCAGAACTGGGAAGTGATAAGTTATAATGGAGGACATAATTTCCCCCATGCTGTCCTTGGAAACTGGTCCCAGAGGTCCCCAGAGCAGCTGGCAGAGGATTCAGCAGTTACCAATGCCAGAGGCAACTGCAAGGATCCTTGGACTGGCAGTTATGGTCGGGATAAAATGACAGGAGAGGTGCTAATCTCCTGCAAATTTCACAAGTTGGAAGCCTGGCAAGGAGCTGAGCAACTGACTACTCAGAGCCAGCTGGGACATGGGGTTTCAAGGTGTCTGTAACTGCCATAGCCTGGAGAACAACAGCTTCAAAGCCAACAGCCCTCACTGAATGCTCTGGTGAGTAGTAGTGAATGAATGAATCACCTCCTTCTATTTGGAAGACAACTCTGGTTAAACAATCCAAAGCCCAGGGAACTGTGTTTGTATGAGGCCCTCTACTGGCTAGGAGGATTTTAACCAGGGAAGGTAGATCCCAAGGACTCCGGAGCCTCTGCATCCTGACTGGTAAGCGTGGCCCCTCCTTCTACTGACCGGCATTCCTGTTTCTGCTCCTCCTCTCTTCCAATTTAATTTACACTACGGTAGCAGCTGTCTTTCTAAAACAGGGCTCCCAGCAATTCCACTGCTAGAAATTTTGCCTAGAGAAATATTCCTACAGCTGCTCAATGCTAAAAGATTAAGAATAATTTGCCACTAGGATATATCTCAGTGGTAGAGTTCGCACACCTAAGGCCCCAGCACCACACACAAACACACAGATTAGAAATAGTCCATGTGTCCACCAGTGGGGGTGGGCTAAAATACAGCGAAACAGTGTGCAGCTGTTAAAAATAATGAGGTAGCACCTAGGGTTTGTTTTTTTCCCCCCAGGTACTAAGGATTGAATCCAGGGCCTCTGGAATGCTAGACAAGCAAGCACTCTACAACTGAGTGATACCCCCAATCCCTTTTTAAAAATTTTATCTTGGGGCTAGAGTTGTAGCTCAATGGTAGAGCATTTGCCTAGCACGTGTGAGGCACTGGGTTCGATCTTCAACACCATATAAAAAAATTAATAAAATAAAGTTATAAAAAATATATTATTATTATTATTTTTTATCTTGAGATAGGGTCTTGCTAAGTTGCTTAGACTGACTTAGAACTTAAAATCTTCCTGTTTCAGCCTCCCAGTTAGCCAGGATAACAGTTATATGCCACTGTGCCTAGCTCCTAGATACTGAAATAGAAATTGTCCTGGGTAAGATAGTAAAAATTCAAGTTTCAAAGACAGTGTACAGTATATAGTGACC